TGTGATTGCTGGGAGTTGAAGCCAGGACCTCTGGAAGAGCAGCCAGCACTCTTAACTGCTGAGCCATCTCTCCAGACCCTATCTTTACAAGAAAAAAAGAAAACTATTACAATGGTGATGATGATCATCATCACTTGGGAGGCAGAGGCAGGACATTCAGGAGCTCAAGGCCAGTTTCAGTTAAGTAGAGAGTTCAAAACCAGCCTGGGCTACGTGAGATCTTGTCTCAAAACAACAAGAAGAACAAAACATCTCTACAAGGTAGGTGCAATGATCTCTATTTTTTCCATGGAAGAAACAGAGCCACCCCAAAACCTTGCAGGGAGGAACGCATTGAGCTAAGGTTTTAAACAGGCAGGTTGACTCCAGAATCTTTGCTCTTAATTGTAAACTACCTTCATAATATAGGGTTTACTTCAAAAGCTACATAAAACTGCAGCTAACGCCGGGCAGTGGCGGTGCACGCCTTTAATCCCAGCCACTTGGGAAGGCAGAGGCAGGTGGATCTCTGTGAGTTCAAGGCCAGCCTGGTCTACAAGAGCTAGTTCCAGGACAACCTCCAAAGCTACAAAGAAACCCTGTCTCAAAAAACCAAAAAAGAAAAAAAAAAACTGCAGCTACTTCTGCTTGTTGTATGCCACATGCCACTGGCTGACAGGGAAAACTCAGGTGACATGAATGACCTACTTCAGCTGACAGTTCCAGCATTCTTCTGGCTTCAACAGACTTGAAACATTGGTTATAATTCTGATTGCCTTTTCTGACTACAGAAGGGCTGATCTGATAGAAAACACTAGGAAGACAGCCAGTGGGAAGGGAGAGGCCAGGGGATTAGGTCATGACTCAGTGGCATAAACTTGACCACAGGTTGGTCACCTGAAGCCTGGAAACACAAAGGATGATCACGTCAGTCAAAGAAGCTCCTCAGGGCCAGGTGTGGGTCTGCAGATGAGATACAAGATAATGATCCTGAGCCCAGGGTAGTGAGTGGTACATACCTGAAACCTAGAACTCAAGAGGCTGAGGAAGGACAGCCTGGGCTGCAGAGTGAGATCCTATTCAAAATGGAGGAAGAAAACGGAAGGGAGGGGAGGAGGAAGGAAAGAGTGTGGGGAGGAGACGGCTCTTCAGAGATAAGGAATTAAGAATAGGAAAAAATAGAAAGAAAAGGCTTCAACAATGGATAATGACAGAGAAAGAACAAGGAGACAAAGAGAAGATGGTGGGAGAAGAAGAAAATGAGAAGAAATGAAAAGAAGGAAAGGAAGAAGGAAAAAGGAGAACATGCAGATGGTTGGAGAAGGCAGAAGCTGGCGGATGGGGCAAAAAACATTCACTTCAAAGGAAATCTCAATGGAAGAAGTGTCAAATTTTGCCAATACTTGACTCAAACAGAAAAAACAAATTGGGCCAGGCGTGGTAGTGCACACCATTAATCCTAGCACTTGGGAAGCAGAGGCAGGCTCTATGAGTTCGAGGCCAGCCTGGTCTACAGAGTGAGTTCCAGGACAGCCAGGACTGTTACACAGAGAAACCCAAAAGCAAAACAAAAAACAAAACTAACCTAAATAACTAAATGGCCTGAGATAGTGAGGAAGTGGCCCATACCAGGCCTACCCCAGAGGTCTGGTGGAGCATGACTTTATAGACACCTTCATCACGACAGGCTTGTTTTCCCAGAATTACCTCCATGGAACTGAAGGATAAAAGAGCAATATTCTCTCTCTCTCTCTCTCTCTCTCTCTCTCTCTCTCTCTCTCTCTCTTTCTCTGCAAAGGGACAGAAATTAGGAAGAGTTTTAGGAAGGCTTTGCACCCTCCGAACTTCTTCTACTCTCAGCCTCTGTGAGGTCTTTGCACTAGAGAGTCAGACACATCCCAATGCCTGAGGCAGTCATGGCCACCTACAGACAAGTCTGCCTCCTCCCTTTCTGTAATGTCCGCCCATATTCACGTCAAGTGACAAAAGGAAAGGCTTGGCTCTTATCACAGGTAACAGAATAAACACAAGCTGGCAGAGAGGGCAAAGTTGACCAAAGTGGCAAAGAGACAGAAATCACTTCTCCCAGCTTCTGAAAGGCCCACTACTTGTCATTCCTGCATGCGTCTTCTTGGGACTTTGTCCCTTTGCGTGTTCTCTGCCTCCTCTGGTTCCCTCTCTGCCTCTCTGATTCATGAGCTCCCTGCACCAGCTTCAACAGCCTGCCATGTTTTCCCTAGGTGGTCTTTGGCCCCCTGGTAGCAGGATAAACAGTCGAACTTCAGTCTAATGGTCAAGTTTTAGACTCAACTTAGAAGTAAAATTACGCTAGGCATGAAAATGCATGCCTGTAATTCCAGCACTGAGGAGGCTGAGGCAGGAGGATCTTGTATTCAAGGCCACCCTAAGCAATAAAGTAAGACTGACCCTGCCTGAAAAAGTAAAAAAAATAAATAAATAAAATAAAAACAGGTATATTTCCTAAGACAGTAGAAAGTTTGAGGTGTTGTCTTCTTCCTCAGGGATAATTTTCATTGGGGTTTCTTTCTAGCCCTAATTGAAAAACTGTCTTGGTTTTCAGAATAGTCTTATACTATATCTATTTATTGCCCCATCAATGTCTACCTCAGGACCTGAGCAATCAGAAGAATGGGGGGGGGGGGGGCGGGGGGGTCCTGGTTCTGTGCAAACCTGGGCCAGCCGTGCAGTGACTCATCTGCCTCGCTGTCCTTCCCTGGCCAGATCAGATAAGGACAAGCAGATAAGTCTTGCAATGCTCCACTGACAAAAACAAGAAACTAACCTCAGAATGGCCAAGGCCTCTGTTCTCAGACTTTATATACAGTGTCCTTAGAACAACAAAGTTGGCCCTCTGCCGGTTTCTTTTTTAAATAAAGTTTTATTGGAACACAGCTACACACATTCATTTCTGTTTTTCCCTCTAGGAGTGTTACGAGAAGTCAGGACTTCCTTTAATATGTGGGACTTCATAAAATTAAACAGCTTCTGTCCAGCTAAAGTATAATCAACCCGGGCAAGAGGAAGCCCATAGACTGGCAGAGGATCTTTGTCAGTCAACATCTGACAGAGGTTTACTACCCAAAACAGATAAAGAAAATTGATCCTTCTGAGAGCCAAAGGCCATCTAACCATACCCTAGCCCCAGGCATGAGGAGCCCTCTTTTGAGTTGTTGGGCTAGGTTGTCTAATGCCCCCAGAACATTAGAGATTATTCAAATTGCCCTTGCCTGCCTCCCAAGTAAAAGATAAATTCCTATTGTTAAAGACATCATGTACTTCAGACACAGTGCCCAGAGGTCCCTGAGCTGAAACTGACCCCTCCCTGAGGACTAGCTTTCATGGCACCAGAAGGATCCATGCAAGCTTCCAAAGGAGGGGAACAGACAGTCCTGCCCAGCGATGACACCTGTGAACCGTAACAATGACCCATGTGGCATAATACCACTGGTACCTCAGGGCGCAGTCGTGGCACAAATACTTTAATGCTAACCAAGAGCTGTCTAATTGGACTTATATAGTTATATTTTATTTATGTTTTATTAAATAAAGCTTGCCTAAAGATCAGAGGGCAAAGCTAAGCCACTAGAAGTCAGGCAGTGGTGACACACACCTTTAATCCCAGGATTTGGGAGACAGAGGCAGGTGGATCCCTTTGAGTTCAAGGCCACCTTGGGCTACACAAAATCAATGCAGAAACAAATTCAGGTGGTGGTGGCTCACACCTTTAACCCCAGTACTGGGGAGTCATACACCTTTAATCCCGGCACTAGAGGAAATATAAAATGGGAGGAGAGAGAGGCTTAGTCCTCTCAGTCTGCGGTCACCCAGTCATGGAGAAGTGAGACTTCTCTTGCAACTTGACCGTTTGCTTTTCTTGTTTTCGAGGTGAATCCCATATCTGACTCTGGGTTTTTATTATTCGTGCTATAGACTCGGGAACTGCTCAACAGGAGGGAAAGTATGTCTAGTGCTGGAAGCCTCGCCACCTCTCCAGGGCTGGTGACGTCATGGACACTGCGGGAATACCTGCAGCTTTACTAAAGCAGCCAGTGCCTCAGCACAGTTCTCGATAGCTGTCCGCACACCCACAGGTGAGTACAGTCTTCACCATCATCAAGAAAAGTCCTCTTAGCCAGGAGGTTGTAGTGGCACACACTTTTATCCCAGCACTGGGGAGGCAGAGGTAGAGGGACCTTTGAGAGTTCAAGGCCAGCCTGGTCTACAGTGAGTTCCAGGACAGCCAGGGACCCTGTCTTGAGGAAGAAAGAAAGAAAGGAAGGAAGAAAGGAAGGAAGGAAAAGAAAAATCCTCTTTACAATAAATGGCGACCATTAATAAAACCACAACTAATCAAAATATAGAGCTATGGAGCCCAACTCCAAGGGATACATCTACAAAAAACTCCTGTACCTACGCTTGGATGGAAAAAGTTTAAGCTGTAGGACTGGGGGATTTGTCTTGCAATTGTTCTCCTAGGAATGTCAGAAGCTACACCCATGAAATCTCACCAGCATGACTGCCTAGAATGGACTGAACAAGGACAACACTAATAGACACACCAAAGTGGCTGTGAAAACCACCGGGTCTCTGCCCTGCACAAGTAACTATCAACAACTAGGGGTGTTGAGAGCAGGAGAAGTAGTTTTCCCCAGGTAGAGCATACCAACTGGTTACCCAGTACCAAATACTCAGCCCTGAAAACAGGCATGCAGGTAACATTATATAGACCAAGCAGGCTATTGTTGAGAATACGTGTGTGTTTGTAGGTGTGTGTGTGTGTGTGTGTATATACAAGTATACGTATGTATATACATATAAATACATACAAAAACTTGTAAAAACAATTAATGAAAAGAGAGGCCATAAATTTAAAAGAGAGCAAACAGGGAGTGTTTAGAGGCAAAAAAGGGAGGAGGAAGAAATGATGTGATTGTATTATGACCTCAAAAAGTAAATAATAAAAAAATAAAAAGGTTTTTTTTTTTTTCAGAGAAACTTACCGGCCACCACACCATACTTCGGCCTGCCAGGAAGAAGCCTCCAACCGTCCCGCGGTTAGTGGAGAACATTGCCTGAGGGAGAGAGGGTCAAACCTTTAACAGGAAAGTAGAAGAGCTGCAAGGACGTGCCCCTTCCCAGGGCCACATCCTTGTGTCCATTCCACTCCCTGAAGCACTTTTCACGCCTTATCTGCCCGCCCCCTTCCCGCCACAGCCTCAGTGCATTCACACGAAGGAGCTCATAGATGCTGGCTCCTGTTTGAAGGACAGGGAAACTGAAGCCTTAGAACTAGTTCTGCAGGTAGCCTACCAGGTCACCCCTCCTGGACCTGTTCCCTCGTTTTGTTCGTATGTTAAACAAGGGGAATGGGATGTTTTTGTATCTTTTTTACATGCACACCACAGAGTAATGGAATATCCTACCTTTAAATAGTACTAACGGGTATGTAAATTACATCTCAATAAAGCTGTTAAGAAAAAAATTTAAATGTCATAAGAACCTAAAGTGTTAACACTTAGTCTTACTTAAAAGACGAGATGTTCAAGCTCAGTTAAACTCTTTTCTCTCTGAATGTACGCGGGCGCTCGCTAGGGTCGTTAGTTTGCAATATATTGTGACTGAGTCGAGAGGGCAGGAAGAAGGTCCTGACGGCAAGAAATACTTCACACAGAGACAGTGCTTCCCCAAGTCTTGAAGGAAAGGTGGGGTTTTGTTCATCTGACGAGGGGGAGTAGGGAGGAGATGGGGAGACTTCAGGAGAGGCCACGTAGGGTTGAGGTAGAGCGGCTCACAGTGTGTGGGGAAGGCGTTGACAAACAATGCTGGCTGTTGAGCCTGGCTGAGACCAACGAATGTGGACAGGGTGAAAAGGGAGACAGAACCATGACTCTCAAATGTCAGGCCAAAAAGCACAGTCTTTTTTTCACAGAAATGGGGAGTCACTGAAGGTTTGGGAGCTGACTAGTAGCCTATATCTCCAAAACATGAGGAGCAGACTCACTCAGTTCCTTTGAAGTTGGCATCTCTCAGTCTGCAGTCATTCCCAGCTCAGCCTTTGGCTCAGTGCCACTGGCCTGGCTTCTAGGTCTCTTCCCCCCTCCCCCCACTTTCTCTGTCACTGCCTCCTTTCCAGACACAGTTAATGACTGATAGTGATCCAAAGGAATTAACCTCTGATGTCATTCCTGCAGCAAACGTGTCTGCAACAGGTGCACCCTTATAGGTGAACAGACTGCTCAGGGGAGGGGGGATGGTTGGAAATCTTTGGGAAGTATGACCTTTATGCATCCAGTCAATCAGCAAAGATGTATTGAGCACCTCTGTGTGTCAGGAAGTAGCAACAAGAGCACTCAAGTCTTTCCAGACTCTTGGCAGTGTCCTTCTTCCCACGGCCATACTCTGAAGACTCAGAGGTGCTCTTCCTGGGAATAGCAAAGTGGCAAACAGACCCAAGGAGCAGAGAAGGCAGCTGCCACTGAATTAGAAATAAATACTAAAAATGTAGGCTCTCGAAAATAACTGGGCACAATCACTCTGGAGCCAATTCTACAAGGAACAGAACATGTGCCAACAATGACAAGATCAGATATCGGCACCTAGAATTACAATCATCCCAAACCCGGATGCTACTCACCAGTGTCAAAACACAATCAATAGCAGCCAGGACCACTGCAGCCCAGAAACCCTACCCCACTACTCACAGATAACTCTCGACATCAATGATCTCGATTCCCCGTGAAAAGGACACAAGCTAACAGAATGGATGCAAAAACAGGATCTTTCTTTCTGCTACATCAAAGAAACTCACCTTAACATCAAGGATAGACATCATCTCAGAGTAAAAGGATGGAAAAAAATATTCCAACCAAATGGGCCAAGAAACAAGTTGGTGTAGCCATTTTAATACCTGACAAAATAGACTTTAAACCGAAACTAATCAAAAGAGATAGAGATCATCACTACATACTCATCAAAGGAAAAACCCACCAGGACATTACAATTCTTAACATCTTTGCACTAAAAACAAGGGTAGCCAAGTTCATAAAAGAAACACTGCTTCAGCTTAAATCACATATTGACCCTACGCACTGACAGTGGGAATGTCAATATCCTATTCTTGCCAATAGAAGGTCATCTGGACAAAAGCTAAATAGAGATGCTGGATCTAACTGACATCATAAACCAAATTAACCTAGCAGATATGTACACAACATTTTACCCAAACACAAAAGAACATACTTTCTTCTCAGCAGCTCAGAGAACTTTCTCCAAATTGACCACATACTTGGACACAAAGGAAGACACAAAAGATACAAGAAAATTGAAGTAGCTCCCTGCATCCTGTCTGACCAGCACGGATTACAGCAGGCTATCAACAACAACAGAGACAACAGAAAGTTTTCAAGCTCATGGAAACTGAAGAACTCACTAGTGAATGAAAAATGCGTGAAGACAGAAATTAGGAAAGAAATGAAAGACTTTCTAGAATTGAACAAAAATGAAAACACAACATGGCCAAACTTATGAGAAACAATGAAGACAGGTCCAAGAGGCAAGCTCATAGCACTAAGTAACTACATCAAAAAATTGGAGAAATCGCATATGAATAGCTTAACAGCACACCTGAAAACCCTAGAACAAACAGAAGAAATCACACCCAAAAGAATTAGAAGGCAAAAATAATCACTCAGGGTTGAAATCAATAAAACAGAAAAAATATAAAGAATCCAAAAAATCAAAAGTTGATTCTTTAAGAAAATCAATATAATTGATAAACTCAAAGCCAAACTAACTAAGAGGTGGAGAAAGAAAATCCAAATTCACAAAATTAGAGGCAAAAAGAGCAACATAACAATAGACATCAAGGAAATCCAGAGAATTATGAGGACATACTTTAAAAAAATGTACTCCGCCAAGTTGGAAAATCTAAAAGAAATGGATATTTTCTTGATATATACCATTTACAAGGTTAAATCAAGATCAGATAAAAAAAACATTAAGCATACCTATAGCCCCTAGTGAAATGGAAGCAGCCATTAAAATCTCCCACCAAATAAAAGCCGAGGGACAAATGGTATTAGTGCAGAAATTTACCAGATTTTCAAAGAAGAGTTGATGTCAGTACTCCTCAAATAATAATTCCACAAAACAGAAACAGAAGGAATATTGCCCAATTCATTTTATGAGGTCACAGTTTCCCTGATACCCAAACCACATAAAGACCAAACAAAGAAAGAGAATTAGAAACTAATTCCCTCATGAACATAGGGGCAAATATTCTCAATAAAATACTTGTAAACTGGGACGGTGCAGGCGGACGGCGCAGGCGGATGGCCTCTGCAGCCGGCGGGGACCTGCGGGAACCAGCGCGGCAGCAGACGACATAGGACATAGGTCCCAGGCGGCAGGGACCAGCGTGCAACACCTAGAGCAGATCGCCCCACTACAATTAAATCAAAGAGGTAGGCCTTTGGTTGGCAAGGTCCCTGGCAAAGGAGGAGCCGGGTCCTGTTCCTGAAGACCCTTCTGAGGAGTGAAAGGGATCTTGGCCCCCAGCAGGAGCCAGGAAACACAGCAAGGGCATTTTGTAAGAGGAACCCCTGGCCAGCAGGGAAACCTGCCCCAGTTTTAAAAGACCCATTAGATAGCATCGATAGGAGGAGATGGGCAGGCGCCAAGGCAAGAATTCACCCAATAATCTGAAAAACAACATGAAAACACCAGAACTCAATGATCTTACAACAGAAGGACTTCAATACCCTAACACAGAAGAAGTGTAAAAAATTGACTTTATGAAAGCAATAGAGTCCCTTAAACAACATGTGAAAAATGCCCTTATAGAAATGGATGAGAAGTATAAGCAAAAGTTTGAAGAAATGAGTAAATACGTACATGATACCCTGGGAAACCAAGAAAAACAATCAGACAGGTAATGGAAACAGTTCAAGAATTGAAAACTGAAATGGAAGCAAGGAAGAAAACACAAACTGAGGACCAGCTGGATATGGAAAATCTAGGTCAACAAGCAGAGCCTATGGAAACAAGCATAATCAATAGAATACAAGAAATAGAGGAAAGAATCTCAGATTCTGAGGACACCATAGAGAAAATAAACGCACTGATCAAAGAAAACAGCAAAGCCAACAAATTCTCATCACAAAACATTCAGGAAATATGGGACACAATAAAAAAAAACCAAACCTAAGAATAATAGGGATAGAAGAAGGAGAAGAGTCACAGCTCAAAGGCCCAGAAAATATTTTTAACAAAATTATGGAAGAAAACTTTCCCAACATAAAGAAAGATATTCCTTTGAATATTCAAGAAGCATACAGAGCACCAAACAGACTGGATCAAACAAAAACATCCCCTCGCCATATAATAATCAAAACACAAAATATACAGGTTAAAGAAAGAATATTAAGAGCTGCAAAGGAAAAAGGCAAGTAACTTATAAAGGTAAACCTATCAGACTTACACCTGACTTCTCTATGGAAACCATGAAAGCCAGAAGGTCCTGGATAGAGGTACTGCAGAAACTAAGAGACCATGGATGCAAACCCAAACTACTATACCCAGCCAAGCTATTATTCACTATCAATGGAGAAAACAAGACATTCCAGGATAAGAACAAATTTAAACAATATGTAGCCACAAATCCAGCCCTACAGAAAGCAATAGAAGGAAAATCGCAACCCAAGGAATCCAACATTGCCAACACTGCCTACAATAACTGAGGCATCTAGTGACCCTTCACCAGCACAACTCAAAGAAGGGAGACACACAAACTCTACTACCAAAAACAATAAGAATAACCGGAGTAAACAACCACTGGTCATTAATATCACTTAATATTAATGGTATCAATTCACCTATAAAAAGGCACAGGCTAAGAGATTGGATATGAAAACAGGATCCAACATTCTGCTGTTTGCAAGAAACACATCTCAACCACAAAGACAGGCATCTACTCAGAGTAAAGGGTTGGGAAAAGGTCTTTCAAGCAAATGGTCCTAAGAAAAAAGCAGGTGTGGCCATACTAATTTCTAACAAAACTGACTTCAAACTAAAA